CCCCAAAACCCCAAAACCCCAAAACCCCTATATATGGGAGAAATATTGATAAATTATATAAAATACAGGTAAGTTCAGCAACATGGAGACATTTTGAGTCATACATTTCATGAAATTGATCCATTTTAATAATATATAGAGCATGAGTGTAGCTCCAAGTAGTGCATTTGTAACCCAATATGGAATAGGAGAAGGTATTTGCATTGTTCTTATTATAGAACTGGAGGAACCTAAAGCAATCCAGATTGTATATTCTAAAACTGGAGGTCAACTTGGAAATGGTAAGATCACATAACTATTGATGTATCGAAGATTTAAGTACAAATTTTGCACTGAATTTCTTTTTAGTCAAATTCTCCTAAGCTCAGAACTTAAGATTATAGAAACGTTGATGAAAATTAAGAACCATGACGATTTTAGAAATAACCAAAACCAGATGCCGTTGGTTTATGAATATAGTTCTACAGTTTCGAGTATTAGTTGTTTAACCCATAGAGAACACATTTGGCAATCAAACATCCGAGAGTAGTCAGATGATCTTAACAAGTATGTGTATTCTTAACTTACCAGGCTAGATTCTAAGTCTTTTAAAGCAAAGCAAAGAAGGAATAACAGATCTCTTAAAAAAGATGAATGATATGGATACTATAGTAACCAGGATATCATCAAAGAGCTTGAAGCACCTAAAATCGATACCAAGGTTAAGATTACAGAAACTAATTCCAAAGAAAAATTAAAGGAGTAATTTTAGATATATATTTTAGAACTAATCTAAACATTCACAATCTGAAAATTAGTAATGGAATCCCTTTTAAGAGAATGTACAACTGTCAATAACTTTTAGTCATAAGAGGAAAAACAATATGGAGGAAGGAAAGATTATTCTTCACAAATCTCCTAGCAATAAGCGTGCAAAATATCAATTAAAAATGGCGAAAATGAGTAACCTTTATGTTATTTTTAGGGAAAATGAACAATGGAACTGTTCTTAAAGGATCTACTTTTCAGAAGAAAAAGAAGAGTAAGCTAGAGACTTACAAAGATAGACTCTCATTATAACTCACAGAAGCTGCAAGACTTAACTCATCCATTGCCTGAAGAGAAGGTGTAGATGATATTTGACTTTTTGTAGAAGGGTGAGCAGAAAAGTAAATAAACCGATGCTAGATTTTAAACAGTATTTCGGAAACAACAGTTTCATAAGAGACACTGATGGAAAAGTAAAATAGGTACGTAAATTATAGATTTTGGGTGTTAAGCAATCAATCCCCATGTGCAGTAAGGATGTACAATTATATTTAGAGCAAGATTTCCAGTTTAAAGCTCACAAGCATCAACAGAAAATAAACATGATTGTAGAGAGCCTTCAAGATAAGGATATTTATTTAGAAAAATTAAGACAGTTTGAGGAAAGGCAAAAGGTCATAGATCAGATTCAATCTATTAAGGAAAATATCAAAAACATAATTATCAAAAAAGGAAATAATGATGAGAAGAATATCGATTCAGATGAGAGTAGAGGAAAAATGACTATAACGACACTACCATTGTTTCTAAATAACAATATTTCTCACTGAAGATCAAAATCCGTACAAAAACTGCCAATTGGGAGTAAATATGCATTATGCAAAAACACAATATTGATCAAGGGAGTTTTTGGTCAACCAAAACTTCTGAAGCAAAAAGATAGCCAGAGGAATAAGAGTGTTAGGAGAAGTGAAAATCCTGCCAAGGGCCTCGAATCTGAAAGGAAGATATCTCACAAAAAAATATCAAAATAATCAAAATTGAGTTATCAAGATTCCAAACCAGCAACCAGTTGGAGATGCGAACTCTCCTGAGACTAAAGAATCAGTTAAGACGAACATTATCTGTAATTTCTCAAATAATGTCTAGCTAAAAATAATACCAAAGATAGCAGACTTCAGAACCAGCTTGAGAGTAGTTTCATGTCAGTCGGGAATAAATCTCACTGAAATGTAGGATTATCATCTTTGATTTTAGACTATTTCTTCCGTCGAATCTCAGAATATCATGAAAGCGATTTCTCAGAATCATATTTATGACAAAAAGAAAGCGAAAGCAATTGATAGTGAGCTACAAAAATATGTGAAATTCCAGAAAGATTTCAATAGTAGCATCCTATATTTTAACTAATAGCCTCAATGATTAGCATCAGCAGCAATGTCCATTCAAATAGTTCAAGGGTTGAAGATACTTATAGAGATGGTAAAATTAAGAAGGAAAAATCTAACATGAAAAATAACAAAGAGACTGTACATCAAAAATAAGGTATTCAAACTCTAATCCATATAGAAAATAATTCAAATGAAATTTGATAGTTCTATTATCACAAATCCTCTGTTGCAGAAGAAGATCAATTATGAAGCGATAAAAATGAGTAATACTCCTTTGAACGTCCCTGAAGATGAATACCAGCCAAATTATGTTAACACCAAGAATAAAAGCCAGGATAGTTTTTCAAAAATGAAAAAGATGGTTTCAAAAAGTAGATTTCCTTCTAATTTGTAGAATTAAAAAGAGAAAAATGTTTTATTTTTAAGAGGAGATCACATTCTCAAGCAAAGAAGCATCAATATACATTTCAGATTAACAAATTGCTTGATCTCAACCAAGGAATTTTTAGTGGAAGTAGTGAAATTGACGAGAACATTGAAAACTCTCTTCTACAGGACAGAATGAGGATGAAAAGACCAAACTTAAAGCCGATCTCTGATACCAAAACTGCGTTAGACGAGTTTGTTAAAATAAGAATGAATATGAAATAAAATTTATTTAATCAAGCTTGGGGTTTTGGGGTTTTGGGGTTTTGGGG